AAATTTTTTGCTTGCACACCACTGCCCCACTGCTATCGTAGTTATCAAATGTACGGCGTATAAAACAGGGGTCTGATCATAGACAAAAAAAAGTTACAGGGGATTATTCACGGTTTCCTTATTTCGGAGTAACTCCATGTCGGTACCATTCTTCAAAACCAGGCACGGCCGTCATCGCACCACCCTCCTGCAGGAATAAGGACGATGCTAGGGACGGGAAAAGGAGGGAGGAGGCTGAGAGAATCTGCTCAGGAGATGGAGTTTCAAGCGCCGGTCGCCTCAGCCGCCACCCCGCCCGCACCGTCTCTGCTTCTCTTCCTCCTCTCCCTTTCCCTCTCTCTCTCTACACCTCTGGCGGTGGCGTGGCCGCCCGGATGCTACTGCTCCTCCAGAGTTTACCTCAAATTCCCCTCCCACCTCTGCGGCGCGAGTCGGCTGGGTTGCCTCACGGGGCGGCACAGGTCGGGGCTGGAAAGGTCTTGGCGTCACTTTGGGAAGTCAGGAGCTCACCCACCTGCAACACACAAGACCGGGTGGTCACGACAAAGCGCTTTGCTGCAGCAGCAAGACGCGATCCTTCCTTGCACGACACATGGTGAGGGTCGCCCTTTCGCCAGTTAGTCCCGTTGGTTGACGTATCTGCATCGTGACGGGTATTCCTGTACATCTAAGCCCAAGTACGAACCTCAACCAATTATGACAATGCAGATTTTCTCACACACACCAACTGGATATGTACCTTTTATTTGTACGAATTTAAGCGATCACATTTTTAGCCAACATTTCTGCGTTGGTTTGAAGACTTTTATAGATACATTTCTAAGAAATCATGAACTTTTCGCACAAATTTGTACGTAACGTAAGTAGGTTCAATTGAGCACGAACGTTTGCAAAAAACCATACAATTACATTTAATGCCCCTGTAACGCTACCGCGGTATAACCCCGAAAAAGGTAATACATTTGTATTCATTTTCAATAAAATGCAAAATTTACCAATCCATTTCTTAACATTTTTGTTCCGAGTGTCGAGCTACCGAGGAACTTTTGGCCCGTCCACGCACGTTTTGGTTAGCAGGCCTTGTTTTTCTTTTTTTTTTCCCGCGGTCGGTAGCTTCTATAGAATCGCGCAATGAATGTGGGTCAGCGAGCGACCAAATAGATTTCCAGCGCGGCGCGGCAATCCTGTTAGTCCAGGCGCCGGTGGCGCAGAGTTTACCCGGACGGGGTGCAGACACCCCAAAATAATGCCCACACGCACGCGGGTCCAGGGTCCCCTAGCCCCTCCTCCCCCAATCACACACACACAGACACACTCACACTGCTGTGTACCTCACACACAGATGCGCTCCGGTGAGCCAGCTCGGTCACTCGGGGAAACTCCGGAAGCCAGGTCAGTGCCGAGCAGGCGGACGGGCTGCGGTGTAGGGCTTACCGTGCGTGGGAGGGCGAGAGGGAGGGTTAGGCAAGGGTTGAGATGAAGGTGTGTGCGGTATGTGGGTGGAGCATGTTTTTGCGTTCGTGTGTGTGTATGTGTGTGTGTGTGTGTGTGTGTGTGTGTTCGGGGCGAGTCAGCAGTTGGCCGCTCTCCCCTCGCTACTTTATCTATCGAGGGACGTCGCTCCCAGACGCGGCCTGGCGCCCCAGCACATTATCGCGTCCTGAACTACCTACCAGACTTCGTGTCGTCACATTCTTTAAAAAAAAACAACAAATAAAAACTGCCCTTACAAGGGAACCCCGCCAAGTGTAAATTCCCGATTTTCATTCTACTTTGGGAAATTGTTGGTCTAAATATGTCATCGAAGGACACATCAAAGATTTTTGCTTAAATTCATATTTAGGGGTCATTTTGGGTATTTGTTGAAAAAGCTGCAATTTCAATTATTTTGTATAACTTTCAAGAATGTTTCCTAAGGGGTAACTCGTCAAATTGCGGCCCTTTGGGCGAAAATTTCGTCCGTTTTGCTCTATCTGAAGCCGTTAAGGCGCTACCGCCACGTTTAGGAGGGGAAATGTACGGGAATCACTAGGGCTTAAGAGCAGCGGTCGTAAAAAGCAGTCCCACAAAAAATGTTATAAAACAAATGTTGTAGAAAAATATAAGCTCTTTAACTTTTGTTTTATAACATTTTTTGTGAGACTGCTTTTTACAACCGCTGCTCTTAAGCCCTAGTGATTCC